ATGACTCAATGCTATGGACTCCTAGTACTTGTAGTTGCTTTGCTACTTGGCAAAGAAGGCAGAAGACCTTGTCAAATGGCAACTCCCAGGATGGGATCCTGGGAGTTGTTTAGGTGGAGACAAGAACCTTGGCAAGATCTCTTCTCCTTGCCTGCTCCTCAATGGTGGTCGCCTCCCCAAAAAAGTGGGGCTCTCCCCCTTTTCCTTCCTTCCTTCCTTCCTTCCCCCTCCCTTCCCAAGATGTGTTTTTTTTTCTCCTGAGCCAAGTTTCCCCTAACAGCTGGAAGTGGTTGGCAAGGGGCTGTCTTAAGGAGACCCCCCGCTCTTCCTTTGACAGCTGATCAAAAGAAAATAGGTCACGCTTTTCAAACTTCTGTCCCCTCCTGCCCTTAATTACTGTCTCTTTAAACAAAGGCAACATCTGCGCAACCTCCGCCGCTTTGCAGGCCTTCGGCAAGCAACCTGCTCCAAGGTCCCCCCCCCAACCTTCCCCCCCCCCTCCCAGAAGCGGTTAACTTCTTGGACTTTGGAAATAAATTCGGAAGAATAAATCTAGATACATCCTACAAGTCAAAGTTTGTGTGTTTTGGGGGATTTGCACTTGATACACAGGACCACCAGAAAATACTAGAGGGTTTTTTTTGGGGGGGGGGGGGTGGACCTGGAATCCTGGACTTATATAGTTCCCCCACATCCAGAAAGCATTCTAATAGATCTGGACCAAATTTAGCACTCCACTTGCCCAACTTTTGATACTGGTGGGGTTTGGAGGGGATTGACCTTAGAGGTTTGGGAGTTGTAGTTCACCTACATCCAGAGAGCACTGTGAACCAGGCAGACAATGGATCTGGACCAAACTTGGTACACAGACCCAACAGGTCCAAATTTGAATACTGGTGGGGTTTGGAGGGAATTGACCTTGAACTTTGGGAGTTGTAGTTCCCCTGCATCCAGCGAGCACTGTGAACCCAACCAACAATGGATCTGGACCAAACTTGGCACACAGACCCAACGTCTCCAACTTTGAATACTGATGGGGTTTGGGGAAAATTGACCTTGAATTTTGGAAGTTGTAGTTCAGCTACATCCAGAGAACACTGTGAACCATACGGACAATAGATCTGGACCACATTTGGCACACAGACCCAACATCTCCAACTTTGAATACTGATGGGGTTTGGAGAAAATTGACCATAAATTTTGGGAGTTGTAGTTCATCTACATCCAGAGAGCACTGTGAACCAGGTAGACAATGAATCTGGACCAAAATTGGCACACAGACCCAACATCTCCAACTCTGAATACCGATTGGATTTGGGGGAAATTAACCTTGAATTTTGGGAGTTGTAGTTCACTTACATCCAGAGAGCACTGTGAACCACGCGGACAATGGGTCTGGATCAAATTTGGCACACAGACCCAACATCTCCAATTTTGAATACTGATGGGGTTTGGAGGGAATTGACCTTGAACTTAGGGAGTTGTAGTTCCCCTGCATCCAGAACCCAACTGTTAACCCACCTGTGAACCCAACCAACAATGGATCTGGCCCAAACTTGGCAAAACGACCCAACATCTCCAACTTTGAAAACTGGTGGGCTTTGGAGGGAATTGATCTTGAACTTAGGGAGTTGTAGTTCCCCTGCATCCAAAACCCAACTGTTAACCCACCTGTGAACCCAACCAACAATGGATCTGGACCAAACTTGGTACAAATACCCAACATCTCCAAATTTGAATACTGGTGGGATTTGGGGAAAATTAACTTTGAATTGTGAGAGTTGTAGTTCACCTACGCCCAAAGAGCACTGTGACCCCAACCAACAATGGATCTGGACCAAATTTGGCACACATGCCCAACATGCCCAACTTTGAATGCTGGTGGGGTGTGAAGAGAATTGACTTTGAATTTAGTGAGTTGTAGTCCACCTACACCCAGAGAGCACCATAAACCCACCAGTGATGGATGTGGGCCAAACTTGGCATATATACCCAACATGCCCAACTTTGAATATTAGTGTGACTGGAACAACTTTGGGAATGGATTCAGAGGCTGTTAGGAATGGTGGGAGTTGTAGTCCAAAACACCTAGAGGGCCCAAAGTTCGCCCATGCTTGCTGTAGACTGAACTAAAAATTCATGGAGTTTTGGACCCTCCCAGATCATTTCCCAGCAAAGGTGGGCTCTGCCGGAAAGAGGCGACTTGGTGGACACCAACAGTCGTGGACTTTGAGCCCCAGGAGAAAAGCCAAGCCTCTATGTTTGCACCATCCCGATCCCGACGCGCGTGTTTCCTGGAGGGAAGGGGGGGGCAGAGGAATCCCACAAGGAGTGGAGAGAGGAGAGAGGAGATAGAGCTCCCGCCATCTCAGTCCTCGGTAGGAGGAGGAGTGGCAGCAGGAGGAGGAAGGAGAAAAAGAGGAAGAGGAGGAGAGGTTGGAAGGGAAATGTTCGGGTTCTAGTCCCACACTTGGAGTGGGAGTCTACCTAGACTGCCTTCCCCTTCCACACTGAGTGGGCGCTCCTAAACGTCCAAGCCAGGCGGGGGCGAGCCTCGGGGCCGGGCACAGGAGCGCCCATACAGACCCAGATGTTCTGGCCCTCTCCTCTTATTCTCTCTAGCTAGGATGCGGGAGGGAGAGACGGGCAGGTATTGGGAGAGATGGGTTGATAAGCTCTTCCCCATCTCTTCTATGCTGGCTGCGTCTTGGTACCCACATCCCTCCTTTCCTTTCCGTTCCTTTCCTTCCCCCACTCCCAGCCACCTTTCCCTTCCTCCCTCTTTCTGTCCTTCCTTCCCTCCCGCTTTCCTTCCCCTCTTCCTCGGTCCTTCCTTCCCTTCTTTCTTCATTCCTTCCCTCCCCCTTCCTTCCCTTCTTCTTTCCTTCCCTCCCTCGTTCCTTCCGTCCTTTCTTCCCTACTTCCTTCCTCCCCTTCCTCCTTCCTTCCTTCCTTCCTTCCTTACCTCCCTCCCTCCTTCCTTTCCTCCCTCCCTTCTTCTTTCCTTCCCTTTTTTCTTCCTTCTCTTCCTTCCTTCCTTCCTTTCCTCCTTCCTTCTTCCCTCCCTCCCCCTCCCTTCCCTCCCTCCCTCCCTTTCTTCCTTCCTTTCTTTCCTTTCTTCCTTCTCTCTTACCCTCCTTCTTTCCCTCTTTCTCTCCCTCCTTCTCCTTCCTTCCTTCCTTCCTTCCTTCCTTCCTTCCTTCCTTCCTTCCTTCCTTCCTTCCTTCCTTCTTTCCTTCTTTCCTTCCTTCTTCTCTTCTCTTCTCTTCTCTTCTCTTCTCTTCCTTTCTCTTTCCTTCCTCTCCTTCCTTTTTCCTTCCTTCCCTTTCCTTCCTCCCCTTCCTCCTCCTTCCTTCCTTCCCTCCCTCCCTCCTTCCTTCCTTTCTTCCTTCCGGGCGTGGTTGCCACCCCCTCCCCCTCCGTCTCCGCGACCTCCTTTGTGCGGATTCTTCCCCCCTCCCCCTTCATCCACAACCAAGCCTTTCTGGCTCTAAGAGGCCAGAGACAGACAGAGAGAGAGAGAGGATGGACGCGGTGCCTCGAAGCCCTCGCCCTTTCCTTTCCTTTTCTCTTCTCTCTGTCTCTCTCTGTGTCTCTGTCTCTCTGTTCTCTTCGGCGTTGGATTCCGCTGCCTCGGAAATGGCCAGGCCCTCTCGCCCGGCCTCCAAAGGAAGGCTGGACCTGACACACGCCCCTCCCCTCGCTCCCGTTGCGAGCTCCCATTGGCCGCTCCGCCGGCGCCCCCTCCCCGCCTGCTCGCCGAGGGTGGCGCTGAGTGGGCGAAGGGCCCGTCCGTCGTGTTTGGAGGCGCCTGGCCCTCCCCCCTGGCCTCCTCCCCCTCCCCTCCTCCGCTCCTCCCTCCCTCCCTCGCCGGGGCTGGGCCGGGCTTGGCTGCTCTCTCTTCCCAACTCTGGACAGCTCCCGCTCGACCCAAACAGACGACGTCAGAGCAGGCGAGGGCTCGGACATGGCGAGGAGGGCGCCGCAGCAGCAGCAGCAGAAGGAGAGCAGGCAGCGGCCGGAGCGGCGGAGGGGCTGCTGCTGGCCGGGCTGAGGAGCCGCGGGGGCGGGCGCCTTCCCTCCCTTCCCCCCTTCCTTCCTTCCTTCCTTCCCTTCCTCCCTCCCTTCCAGATCTCTCAATCTCTCTTTCTCCCCCCTCTCTTTCTCCCCCCCCCCTTTTGACACGCAAGCAGCACACATTCACACCCGCACCGCCGGACGGAGAGGAGAGGAAGGGAGGCCTTCCTCCGGAGAGAAGCCCCTCGTGAGAGGGAGGAGGGGGAGAAAGGGAGGAAGGGAGGAAGGAAGGAAGGAGCCTGGCTTGGCGAGAGGCAGCCCAAGCCAGGGAAGAGCCCTCCTTTCCCCAGGCCCCCCAAAAAGGGGGAGGGAGGGAAGGAAGGAAGGGAGAACCAGGAAAGAGCCTTCTTTTCCCCGGGGCCCCCCAAAAAGAGGGAGGAGGAGAGCAGGCAGCGGCCGGAGCGGCGGAAGGGAAAAAGCAAGAAAGAGCCCTCCTTTCCCGGGAAGGAAGGGAGGAGGAAGAGGAAGGAAGGGAGGAAGGAGCCTCGCTTGGGCAAGAGCAAGAAAGAGCCCTCCTTTTCCCGGACCCCCCAAAAAGGGAGGAAAGGAAGAAACCTCGCTTGGGCAGAAGCAGGAAAGAGCCTTCCTTTCCCTGGGCCCCCAAAAAGAGGGAGGAGGAAGAGGAAGGAAGGAGCCTCGCTTGGGCAAAGGCAAGAGAGAGCCCTCCTTTCCCCAGGCCCCCAAAAAGGGGAAGGGAGGGAGGAAAGCAAGGAAGGAAGGGCAAGAAAGAGCTCTTTTTCCCCGGGAGCCCCAAAGAGAGCGAGGGAAAGGGGAAGGAAAGGAGGAGAGAGCATCAGCCTCCATCCCGAGCCCAGGAAGAGCCTTGCCGGCCCAAGAAGGAAGCCCACGCCAACCGGGCCGAGGAGGTCTCCCCTTCCTTCCCCTTCCTCCTCCTCCTCCTCTTCCTCCTCTCGCTGCGCCCATGGACTGAATGAAGACCGCCTGCCCCCCGCTGCCTCCCGCCTCCTCCTCCTCCTCCTCCTCGGCCTCCTCCTCCTATCGATGCCTCCTCACCAAAGAGCTGCTGGGGGACAGCTGCGCCATGAACGCGGAGGCCACGCTGAGCCTGGAGACGTTGGGTCCGCTGCACGGAGGCCATGAGCCGGAGCTGATGGGCAGCCCCAGCCCGCACCACCACCCTTCCAGCCGCAGCGGCGCCGGCCCTTTGCGGGGTCCCGCTCCCCCTCCTCCTTCGCACCAGGAGCTCTCCTCGGCGGCTGCAGCAGCGGCAGCGGCGGCGGCGTCGCGCTCGGCGATGGTGAGCAGTATGGCTTCGCTGCTGGAGGGCGCGGGGGAGTTCCGTCCGGAGCTGTCCATCCCGCTGCACCACGCCATGAGCATGCCGTGCGACTCCTCTCCGCCGGGCCTGGGCATGAGCGGCACTTACACCACGCTGACGCCGCTCCAGCCCTTGCCGCCCATCTCCACGGTCTCGGACAAGTTCCACCACCCGCACCCGGCCCACCCGCACCACCCGGCCCACCCGCACCACCACGCCGCCGCCGTGGCCGCCGCCGCGCACCACCACCACCACCACCACCACCAGCACCACCAGCGCCTCTCCAACGTCAGCGGCAGCTTCGCCCTCATGCGCGACGAGCGCGGCCTGCCCGCCATGAACAACCTCTACGGGCCCTACAAGGAGATGGGCGCCGCCGCCATGGGGCAGAGCCTCTCGCCGCTCGGGAACGGGCTGGGCCCGCTCCACCACCCGCAGCACCCCCAGCCCGGCGCCCTCCACAACTACGGCAGCCCCGGCGGGCACGACAAGATGCTGGGGCCCAACTTCGAGGCCCACGCGGCCATGCTGACCCGCGGAGGAGGAGGAGGAGGAGGCAACGGAGGAGGCGGAGGAGGAGTAGGAGTCGGAGGGGGGAGCGAGCAGCACCTCTCCCGGGGCCTGGCGACCCCCCCGGCCTCCATGATGGCCCACCTCAATGGCATGCACCACGCGGGACACCCCGGGGGCGGCGGCAACGGGGGCGGCGGGGGCGTGGGCCACCCTCAGGGCCACGTGGGGCCCGTGCTGGGCCGGGAGCGCCCGCCCTCCTCCTCGGCGGGGCCCCCGGGCGTCAACAACGGCGGCGGCGGGCAGCTGGAGGAGATCAACACCAAAGAAGTGGCGCAGCGCATCACGGCCGAGCTGAAGCGGTACAGCATCCCGCAGGCCATCTTCGCCCAGCGGGTCCTCTGCCGCTCTCAGGGCACCCTCTCCGACCTGCTAAGGAACCCTAAACCCTGGAGTAAACTCAAGTCCGGGAGGGAGACCTTCCGGAGGATGTGGAAGTGGCTGCAGGAGCCCGAGTTCCAGAGGATGTCGGCCTTGAGACTTGCTGGTAAGTCGCCCACCCTGTCTCCCTTTCCTCTCTTTCCCTTCGCTTGGCTGGCCTGGAAAAGGGTTGCTGTGAGTTTTCCGGGATGTATGGCCCCAGGGAGCGAGTGAGCTCCCCCTGTTAGCCCCAGCTTCTGCCAACCTTGCAGTTAGAAAACATGCGAATGTGAGTAGATCAATAGGTACCGCTTCAGCATGCAGTCATGCTTGCCACATGACCTAGGAGGCGTCTACAGACAACGCCAACTCTTCCGCTTAGAAATGCAGATGAGCACCAACCCCTCCTCCAGTCATGTCGGCCAAATGACCTAGGAGGCGTCTACGGACAACGCCGGCTCTCCAGCTTAGAAATGGAGATGAGCACCACCACCACCCCCCCCAGTCATGCCGGCCAAATGACCTAGGAGGCGTCTACAAACAATGCCGGCTCTCTAGCTTAGAAATGGAGATGAGCACCATCCCCCAGTCATGCCAGCCACATGACCTAGGAGGTGTCTACGGACAATGCATGCTCTTAGGCTTAGAAATGGAGGTGAGCACCACCACCACCACCACCCCCAGCCATGCCGGCCACATGATCTAGGAGGTGTCTAGGGACAACGCCGGCTCTTCAGCTTAGAACTGGAGGTGACCTTTTTCATCTCCACGGACACAACGAGACTTAATGTCAAGGGGAAACCTTTGGCGTTACTATGGCCATGTTTCAGAAGCATTCCCTCTTGACGTTTCACCCTCATCTGTGTCAGGCATCCTCAGAGGTTGTGAGGTCTGTTGCAAACTAGGCAAGTGGGGTTTATATATCCGTGGAAGGTCCACGGTGGGAGAAAGACCTCTTGCCTGTTGGAGGCAAGTGTGAATTTTGCAGTTGGCCACCTTGATTAGCATGGAAAAGCCTTGCAGCTTCAAAGCCCGGCTGCTTCCTGCCCGGGGGAATCCTTTATTAGCTGGTTAGCTGACCCTGATCATTCTCTGTCTGGAATTCCCCTGGTTTTTGAGTGCTGCTCTTTATTTACTGTCCTGATTTTAGAGGGTTTTTTTAGTAGTGGTAGCCAGATTTTGTCCATTCTGTTGAAATTTTCCACATGCTTGTGGATTTCAATGGCTTCTTTGCATCGTCTGATCATTTACCTAGTTTCCAATGAAAGAACCTGACAACCTCTCAGAATGCTTGTCATAAATGTGGGTGAAAGGTCAGGAGAGAATGCTTCTGGAGTATGGCCAAACAGCCTGGAAAACTCACAGCAACCCAGTGAATCCAGCCATGAAAACCTTCCACAACACATTGATGTTGACATATTTGCGAGGATGTTGCCTTGAATTGCTTCCCAGCTGCTCTCTTTGCTTCGAGGTGTTTGTCCCCAAGCTCCCTTCTTTCCCGACTGTCACCATCTTCCCCTGTTTTTGGGTCTGTCTCTCTGAGACTAGTAAGACACAATGGAGCAAGAAATCCCACCTAAAGGTTAGGATGGTAAGAGCTGTCCAATGCCTTGGAGCCTTGTGGAGTCCTCTTCTCTAAGCAGAGGTTGATGGCCATCAGTTGGGAGAGCTTTGGTTGTATTTCCCTGCCTGGAAGAATGGGGTTGGACTGGGTGGCCTTTGGGGTCTCTCCCAACTCCATAATTTCCTGATTCTATAATAGCCAAGCTCTATGACTTCACCAAATTTGCTAAAGTTCTTTAGATGATAAGACAGGCATGGGCCAACTTTGGACCTTTCAGGTGTTTTGGACTTCAGCTCCCACCATTCCTAACAGCCTCAGGACCCTTCCTTTTCCCCCTCAGCCGCTTAAGCTTTCCTTTAGCTTCCTTTAGCCGCTTAAGCGGCTGAGGGGGGAAAGGAAGGGTCCTGAGGCTGTTAGGAATGGTGGGAGCTGAAGTCCAAAACACCTGAAAGGTCCAAAGTTGGCCTATGACTCTGCTAAGACCATGACTGCTTGTTTGTCCTCAGCCTCACCTCCCCTTTTCACCCTTTTGCCATCTGCTCCTGGTTTGGCTCTTTCTTTCTGGGACTTCTCAACACCTGCCCTTCCTCTCCCTTCCTTGCAAAAGGAAAAATACAGAAACCCATGAGGTTTTTTAACCTCCTCTTGGGAAAGATCCAAAGCAACACATTGGTCTCCAGAAACCTCCTAGAGGAATTGGAAAAGTTGAAGGATCTTTCTCCTAAAGAGGACACCAGGTTGCTTCTTGGCTTTGGAGGCACCGAGTGTGCGTGTGTGTTGTATTTGTGTGGCTATCCCCAGATATCCAAGCTCTGCTGTTTGGGTTTTGACACATGAAAAGGCAAAACAATTCTCAACCTTTCTGGAGAAAGAATGAGGTGAATTGTGGTAGGAGGAAATGTGTGAGGGGTGATATCCTTGCAAACACGGAAATATGGATTTCTCACCCCTCACTCCCTTTGTCCCAGGTATGCGCCTATCCAACACAGAAGATGAAAAATACATTTAAACCTACATAGAGGCAGTGGTGAGAAGGGGGGGGGGGAGAGGTGCTGAGAATGTAAAGCTGCCAGATGCGTAGATCAAAAAGCTTCGGGGCTCTTCTGGAGGGGAAGGAGGGGAAAGAGGTGGAGGGGGAGCTATGTGTTTTTTTCTTTCCTTTTGGCATGAACAGATTGGATCTACAATTGGAGGGATGGGGGTGGGGAGAAAGAACAATCACTTTTGGGGGGATATTGTTCTTTTGATGTGTGCCGAGTTGTTCGTGGGCGCCCTCTAGTGGCACCCGGAGGAAGTCTTTCCCCATTTCTATTGTTCTTAAAATGGCAAGGCGTTTGGTGGATTAAAGGTTTGCCTTGTATAGGGTAAGGTGCATTCCAAATGATTGAGGGAGATATATATTACATCGGTATCTATATCTATATCTATAAGACAGATATATATACCAGAATATATTGTATGTGATATATATATATATATATATATATATATATATATATATATATATATATATATCTCACTAAGAAAGACAGCTATACATACCAGAATATATCCTATGTGATGATCTACACATCAGACACTGTGTGCGCGAATTTGTTTGTATGTATGTATATCTATAGTGCTAAAAAAGATATACATAATGGAATATAGTTTATGTGATGATAAACATACCAGATTGTGTGTGTGTGTATGTCTCTCTCTCTCTCTCTCTCTCTGTGGTTGTATGTACATATACATATATATAGCTGAGATAACCAGATTCTCTCTCTCTCTCTCTGTGTGTGCGTGTATATGTATGTGTGTGTGTGTGTATGTGTATATATATATATATATATATATATATATATATATATATATATATAGCTGTGATAACCAGATTCTCTCTCTCTGAGATAAATATACCAAAATATATTGTATGTAATGTTCTACACACCAGACACTATGTAGACACATAGTATATTGCTAAGTAAGACATACATGCCGGAATATAATTTATGTGATGATAAACATACTAGATAGTGTGTATGTATGTATGTGTGTGTATATATATATATATATATAGAGAGAGAGAGAGAGAGAGAGAATTTATGTGATGATAAACATACTAGATAGTGTGTATGTATGTGTGTGTGTGTTTATATATATATATATATATATATATAAGAGAGAGAGGGAGCTGTGATAAATATATCAAAATACGTTGTATGTAATGATATACTAAGAAAGATATGTATACTGAAATATAATATATGTGATGATAAACGTACAGGATTGTGTGTGTGTGTGTAGATGAGATAAATATACCGAAATATGTTGTATGTAATGAGCTACACACCAGACACTGTGTGTGTGTGTATTGCTAAGAAAGATATGCATACGGGAATATAATATATGTGATGATAAACATATCATACCTTATATATATATATATATATATATATATATATATATATATATATATATATATATATGAGATAAATATACCAGAATAGATTGCATGTAAATATCTACACAGCAGATACTCTGTGTGTGTGCTGCTAAGAAATACCGGAATATAATATATGTGATGATAAACATACCATGCATATACATATACATATATAATATACATATACATATACATATACTATATATATATATATATATATATATATATATATATATATACACACACACACACACACACACACAATATAGTATATCTATCTCAAATATATATGTGTGTGTGTGTGTGTGTGAGAGAGAGAGAGAGAGATACCAGAATATATATATTGTATGCAATATACATACAAATCAGATGTTTATATGGGGGGGGGGGCGTAGAGAGCTAAGAATAATAGATATAAATATTGGAATATATTGTAAGTGATTATTTATATCCCAGATGATCTATCTATCTGTTAATCATCTGGTATGCAAATCACATACAGTAATTTCTGGTAGGTATATCTACCTTTCTTCAGAAATTCAATATGTATGTATGAATATCTATAGTGCTAAAAAGATATGCATAACGGAATATAGTTTATGTGATGATAAACATACCAGATTGTGTGTGTGTGTGTGTATTTCTTCAGCAATTATTATGTATGAATATCTATAGTGCTAAAAGATATGCATAATGGAATATAGTTTATGTGATGATAGACATATCAGATTGTGTGTATGTGCCTCTCTTTCTCTGTGTATGTAAATATATATGTTTATATGGGGGGGGGGCGTAGAGAGCTGAGAATAATAGATCTAAATACCGGAATATATTGTATGCGATGATCTAGATACCAAATGATGATCTATCAGTCTATTAATCATCTGGTATGCAAATCACACACAATAAATTCTGGCAGGTATATCTACCTTTTCTTTAGCCTGGGTGTTAGAATATATAGATAGATAGATAGATAGATAGATAGATAGATAGATAGATAGATAGATAGATAGATAGATAGATAGATAGATACATAGAGATATAGATATATAGAATATATATAGATATATAGAATATATATCTATCTATATATATATAAGATAAACATACCAGAATATATTGCATGTAAATATCT